TGACCCGTAAGCAGCTGCGAGGTTTGTAGTCCGGCTCGACCCAGCCGAAGCTGAGCCGGGCCGACACATCCGGGAAGTAGCGATATAGTTCCCTACCATTCTTCTCTCTTCATCCCAATCCCTCTGCCATAACTCAATCATCTCATCCCTAACTCTGTCTGAGCACCTGACCGCGGTCCGACCTCGCGCTCTCGATCTACCTTACCTGCCACCATCACTTCCATGTGAGCCGGCAGCACCCCGGCAAGAACCGGTAGGCCGCCGTGCTCACGGTCCTGTAGGCCTTGGTCAGTAACGGCCTCTGTGTCTTCAGCAGGGCACTGCGTACTACGTAGATTTGCACGCTCGTACCAGCACCCGCCACGTACGTCAGGGTAGTCAGGTATGTCGCTGAATAAATTGTCTTGAGGGAAGAGTACCTCATTCCCCACGATGCGGCCGACACTCGACACCTTGCCGAAGCTCTTCGACGCCCTCGCCAATACTTTGCGCGTGTTGCGCAAAGAGAGGTGCTCGTCCAAGACCAGACCCAGCACAGTGGCCGCGGAAACGGTCCGGATAGAGTCGCCACCCATCCTGACGATCGGCGGTCTCTGCAGCCGGCCCTTTACCGTCATGGTGCACGACTTCGCCGGGGCAAAAGCCAACCGGTTACGCCGGCCCCAATCTTGCATCAGGTCCAAGGCTTGCGCGGACCGCCGCTCGATCTCGGCACGTGATGACGCCTCCACCAAAACCGTCACATCGTCCGCATAGGCCACGGTCTTAACACCGGCCGGGAATGGGAGCCGCAGCAAGTCGTCCAACAGCACGTTCCACAACGCAGCCCAGGACAGAGCCCTGGGGGCACCCCATTGTGGACCCTTCCACACGACTTCGGTGCCAACGAGGAACCCACCCTGCGGTCCGTAAAATAGTCCGTTAGAGTCTGTATAGGTTAGGCGGGAACCCACCCCGCTTAACCTTCGTCAAAACCATGGGCCACCACGCATTGTCGAAAGCTCCGGAGATGTCAAGGAATAGCTGCACGTATTTGGCAGCAGACCCCCGACACCCCCAGGATATCGTTTAGCGCGGTGGAAGTCGATCGTCCCGGAACGAAGCCGTGCTGGTTTCCACTGATGCCGCCGCGCAGTCCCGGTGCAAGCTCCAACAGAATCTTCTAGGATCTTCCTAAAACCGAAGTAGGGTGATCGGACGATAAGCTTTGGGATCCGACACCGGCCTGCCATTCCCTTTGGGAATAACAAGCAGCGCCCGCTCTTCCATACACCTGGGAACACACCATCTTTCACGCACCTATTGATCACCTCACAAAATTCCTGCTGTACCGCTTTCCAAACATGCTTGACTATTCGTGAACTGATACCATCTAGACCCGGGGCAGTGTTGGTAAAGACCCGACTATCTTCCCAGCACCAGACTACTCACGGGCCCCGCATCCTTACCGGAGGGGACCAAAATCGCCGCAACCCTGACCAGCCTATGATACCCGGAATCGCCCGCCGGACAGTCATCCGGGCACAGGCTCGGAGCATTCCGGACATAGCACCCGCCGTGTCCGTCGCGAAGCCCTCCGACAGCGCCAAACCGTTGACCACATTGCGGGGAGCTCTACATCGCCCCGAGGCCGCCCGATAGGCAATACCCCAGGGGTCCACATTGCCACTCTCCGCAATTTGCCTGAAATAAGCTGTTTGTATTTCACGCATCCTTCTGCGGTACGCCGCCCCAGCCCTAAGGTAGACCAATCTCGCCTCCAGTTCACGGTCCCTCTCTAGCTTTCGTTCTCTGCCAGACTTTCCTCTTTGGCAGTCTCACCTCTCATTCTGTTTAACTCCTCGTTCCACCACTCGTACCCGTAAAACGACCTTGGCCGTATTACTCCCAGACATTCTCGCGCAGACCGTATGATCACATCAGTGAACGAACCCGCCACCTTCGCAGCGGGGGCGCCCCACCGAATGCGACCAACCCTCATTTGTACAGTACGTTCGAATACGTCCCAGTCTACTCCACGGTCCCGGAATCGCACAGGCTCTTCCATTGGTTCCGCGCACGTGGCAGTAGATAGGGACAGTCCCACCACCTCCCATGGCCCCTCCGACATCTAGGTCATATGGGCCGAATCGCAGAAGCGCCGCGAGACACCGATTAAATCTAGTCCCGCGACTCTTCATGCTTCTTACAAGTTATTTCTATATTTCAGTTCCGTGTCCCTAGTAACAACTCTCCTTAATAGGGCTTGTACACCCAGATACGGACTCCGTTGCCGAGCAGTTCTTCTTCTTCGGGCTTCTTCTTCTTCGCACTTGATGCTACTTTGTCCGCCACGTAATCCGTGCCAAGCACGCGTACTCTACAAACCGTCGGAAGTTCGCCTGTGTACCCACGAGATCCGCATAGTATACCGGGCCCACTTGCAGCACCTTTATTCCGCTCAACATGTCGCTCCTTAAGTCGCTTCAGAGGGCATGACACAAAACGCATGTCCTCGTCCGTCTGTCCACACAAGCACACACTAGCTGTTCAGTTCCATTACACAAACGCTTCCGGAAACATCCATGAGCTAAGCAGTCAGGCTCGACCCAGCCGAAGCTGAGCCGGGCCGACATCCGGAAGTAGCGATATAGTTCCCTACCATTCTCTTCATCCCAACTCTGCCATAACTCAATCATCTCATCCCTAACTCTACGTCTGAGCACCCTGACCTCAGCCGCGGTCCGACCCCGCGCTCTCGATCTACCTTACCTGCCACCATCACCTCCATGTGAGCCGGCAGCACCCCGGCAAGAACGGTAGGCCGCCGTGCTCACGGTCCTGTAGGCCTTGGTCAGTAACGCCAAGGCTGGCCTCTGTGCTCATAGCAGGGCACTGCGTACTACGTGATTTGCACGCTCGTACCAGCACCCCGCCACGTACGTCAGGGTAGTCAGGTATGTCGCTGAATAAATTGTCTTGAGGGAAGAGTACCTCATTCCCACGATGCGGCCGACACTCGACACCTTGCCGAAGCTCTTCGACGCCCTTCGCCAATACTTTGCGCATGTTGCGAGAGGTGCTCGTCCAAGACCAGACCCAGCACAGTGGCCGCGGAAACGGTCCGGATAGAGTCGCCACCCATCCTGACGATCGGCGGTCTCTGCAGCCGGCCCTTTACCGTCATGGTGCACGACTTCGCCGGGGCAAAGCCAACCGGTTACGCCGGCCCCAATCTTGCATCAGGTCGCGTTTGCGGACCGCCGCTCGATCTCGGCACGTGATGACGCCTCCACCAAAACCGTCACATCGTCCGCATAGGCCACGGTCTTAACACCGGCCGGGAATGGAGCCGCAGCAAGTCGTCCAACAGCACGTTCCACAACGCAGGGCCCAGGACAGAGCCCTGGCACCCCATTGTGGACCTCTTCCACACGACTTCGGTGCCAACGAGGAACCCCACCCTGCGGTCCGTAAAATAGTCCGTTAGAGTCTGTATAGGTTAGGCGGGAACCCACCCTGCTTAACCTTCGTCAAAACCATGGGCCACCACGCATTGTCGAAAGCTCCGGAGATGTCAAGGAATATCAGCTGCACGTATTTGGCAGCAGACCCCTGACACCCCCAGGATATCGTTTAGCGCGGTGGAAGTCGATCGTCCCGAACGCCGTGCTGGTTTCCAACTGATGCCGCGCGCAGTCCCGCAAGCTCCAACAGAATCTTCTAGGATCTCCTAAAACCGGAAGTAGGGTGATCGGACGATAAGCTTTGGGATCCGACACTCGCCATTCCCTTTGGGAATAACAAGCAGCGCCGCTCTTCCATACAGGGAACACACCATTTTCACGCACCTATTGATCACCTCACAAAATTCCTGCTGTACCGCTTCAAACATGCTTGACATTCGAACGATACCATCTAGCCCGGGCAGTGTTGCAAAGACCGACTATCTTCCCCGGACTACTCCGGGCCCCGCATCCCCGGAGGGACCAGAATCGCCGCAACCCTGACCAGCCTATATCCCGGAATCGCCCGCCGGACAGTCATCCGGGCACAGGGCTCGGCATTCCGGACATCAAGCCGTGTCCGTGCAAGCTGACAGCGCCGAACCGTTGACCACATTATGGGACTCATCTCGCCCGATCAATTTTGCCACTTCCGCAATCTGAAATAAGCTGTTTGTATTTCACGCATCCCTCTGCGGTACGCCGCCCTAGCCCTAAGGTATTCAACTGCTCCAGTATCACGGTCCCTCCTCTAGCTTGTTCTCTGCCAGACTTTCCTTTTGGCAGTCTCACCTATTTGTTTAACTCCTGTTACCACTCGTACCCGCAAAACGACCTTGGCCGTATTACTCCCAGACATTCTCGCAGACCGTATGATCACATCAGAACGAACCTCGCCAGCTCGCGGCGGGGCGCCCCACCTCCGACCAACCCTCATCGAACAGTACGTTAATACGTCCCAGTTACTCCACGTCCCGGAATCGCACAGGCTCTTCCATTGGTTCCGCGACGTGGCGGATCTGACTACGCCATCAACGTAGACTATTAGCCGGTGATCGCTGACGCTAGCGTCCTCCAGCATCCAGCATTCACTGCGACTCCGCGTGAGATAAAGTTAGGTCGATGACTCGCTGCGGGTAACCTCGCAACTCGGCTGACCTCGCAGCTATTAGTATCTCCCGTTCGGCTATAAAACACTCCATTTGTTGCGCCACGTTCGCTTTGCCCAAGACCCGAAGGCGACGTTCGAAAGTGGCGAGTCGCACGCTTCGACAACCTACATGACTCGCTTCTCGCACCTCAGCTAAAAACCTTTGCTCTAGGTATGGGTCTTTCAGTCGTATTGAAAAGCCAGAGATCACATTTGTCCTTTGCGCCAACATACCGTCCCGTGCTGATTGCAGTGCAGTCAGACAGATTTGTCCGTGTACCAAATCCCGCCTGGGAGTGTTCCGGCGACGCCGGCGATGCGTACCGGCACCAGCACGAAATCCAGTGCGCCCGCCGACGTGAGTCGACCGCACCGCCTCCGCCCAACCGAGTAAGGAATGAAACGATGAAAGTAGTGGTTTCAGCGACGACCGCGAACGATCTCCCACGCTACACCTCTCATGTCTCACAATGCCAGACTAGAGTCAAGCTCAACAGGGTCTTTCCTGCTGGCAACCTTGGCTGTGGTTTCGCTAGATAGTAGATAGGGACAGCGGGAATCTCGTTAATCCATTCATGCGCGTCACTAATTAGATGACGAGGCATTTGGCTACCTTAAGAGAGTCATAGTTACTCCCGCCGTTTACCCGCGCTTGCTTGAATTTCTTCACTTTGACATTCAGAGCACTGGCAGAAATCACATTGCGTCAACACCCGCGAGGGCCATCGCAATGCTTTGTTTTAATTAGACAGTCGGATTCCCCTTGTCCGTGCCAGTTCTGAGCTGACCGTTGAACGGCGGTCGTAAAGGTACCGCGCCGACCGAACGCGCGCGCTCCGTTTTACCGAAACGACGACATCGCCCGGCCAGACACGCGGCCTCGGGCTGGAAGATCCGCGGAAGGCCGGAGCGCGGGTCTGATTCCGCCCGCGCGCACGACGAGCGCACACGCGAGCTTCGACCCGGCGCCGGCCGCGTCCGCTTCCCTTCCGAACCCGACGCGCCCCGGTCCTCAGAGCCAATCCTTATTCCGAAGTTACGGATCCAATTTGCCGACTTCCTTACCTACATTATTCTATCGACCAGAGGCTCTTCACCTTGGAGACCTGCTGCGATATGGGTACGAACCGGCGCGACATCTCCGCGTACGTCCCTCACCTGAATTTTCAAGGTCCGCATAGAGAATCCGGACACCGCCGCAATGCGGTGCTCTTCGCGTTCCGAACCATATCTCCCTTCTATAGGATTCCATGGAACTCGAACGCTCAGGCAGAAAAGAAAACTCTTCCCGGACCTCTAGGCGGCGTCTTCAGGCCACTTTGGGTCACCCTGTCGAACTCGCGCCTCTCGAGGCGAGGGAACGATTATCGAAACGGTTCCGCTGCCGGGTTCCGGAATAGGAACCGGATTCCCGCTCAACGGGCGTCGTTATATTATTAATTATATAATATATATAATATTAAAATAAACACGCCACATCGACACAAGATCTCTCCTTGAGCTTAGGATCGACTGACTCGCGAGCAACTACTGTTCACGCGAAACCCTTCTCCACGTCAGTCCTCCAGGGCCTCGCTGGAGTATTTGCTACTACCACCAAGATCTGCACCGACGGAGGTCCAGGCGGGCTCACGCCCAGACCCTTCTGCGCTCTCCGCCGCGCTCGTCCTACTCGTTACGGCTTAATGACCGCACGCTTTAAACGTGCGGTCGCACGTGCCGGTAACGGTAGAGTATAGGCAAAACGCTTCAGCGCCATCCATTTTCAGGGCTGGTTGCTTCGGCAGGTGAGTTGTTACACACTCCTTAGCGGATTCCGACTTCCATGGCCACCGTCCTGCTGTCTTGAGCGACCAACGCCTTTCATGGTGTCCCATGAGCGTTTTTTAGGCGCCTTAACACTACGTTCGGTTCATCCCACAGCGCCAGTTCTGCTTACCAAAATTGGCCCACTTGGCACCGTCATCAGATCTCGAGGCTTCATCGTTCGAGTAAGCCCGAGTTCTCACCCATTTAAAGTTTGAGAATAGGTTGAGGTCGTTTCGGCCCCAATGCCTCTAATCATTCGCTTTACCGGATGAGACTGTTAACGTATTCGACGCCAGCTATCCTGAGGGAAACTTCGGACGGAACCAGCTACTAGATGGTTCGATTAGTCTTTCGCCCCTATACCCAGTTCCGACGATCGATTTGCACGTCAGAATCGCTACGGTCCTCCACCAGAGTTTCCTGACTTCGACCTGACCAGGCATAGTTCACCATCTTTCGGGTCCCAGCATCTGTGCTCGGAGCGCGCCCTCATCCGCGGATTGGGAACGGGACGCCTCAGAGGAGACGCGGACCGAGATCCGCGTCCATCCTCCCGAGCGTTCCAAAAAATTGAAACGCCTCTTCACTTTCGTTACGCCTTTCAGTTTGATCGTTACACACGAGGAGACTCAACGACTCGCACACATGCTAGACTCCTTGGTCCGTGTTACAAGACGGGTCCTGCGAGTGCCCGAAACCGAATCATCGCAGACGGATACGCGCACGGTCAGAGACTACACGGCGGTATCGATGGCGCGCAGCGTCGAGGTCCGCACTCGGGCGGAACCTCGAACGCGACGACGCCTCGCGTCGGGCCTGACGCGCCTAAGCGCGTGCGCGTTTCGTATTCATACCGTCCGATTGGAAGGCCGGTCGGCCACCGTCGCGGTCCGACGACCGAGTTAAGGTCGCCGGGCTCCCGAACGGCGCTCAGACCGACCTCGAACGGGTCGCGATGCCTTACTGAGAGAGAAGTGCACGCCGTCCCCGGCGACGATACGCACGATCCGCGCCCGCCGACACGGCCCCGAAAGACCGAGATCGACGGACGTCCGGGACGACCGTACGCACGCAGCACGGAAACGAACGTTGAATCTCTCCGTTCGTTCATTCGAGTTTCGCAGGTTTACCCCTGAACGGTTTCACGTACTCTTGAACTCTCTTCAAAGTTCTTTTCAACTTTCCCTCACGGTACTTGTTCGCTATCGGTCTCGCGGTGATATTTAGCCTTAGATGGAGTTTACCACCCGCTTAGGGCTGCACTCTCAAGCAACCCGACTCTGAGGAGAGTCCCTCGCCGCCGCGCTCCGTCTCTACGGGCCTGGCACCCTCTACGGGAAAGCGGCCCCGTTCAAGACGAACTTGGACAGGAGACCCGACGACGAGAAAGCGGAACCTCCCGAACACCACATGTCGCGCGACCGTTACGATCGCGCGATTCGGCGCTGGGCTCTTTCCTGTTCGCTCGCCGCTACTAAGGAAATCCTGGTTAGTTTCTTTTCCTCCGCTTACTAATATGCTTAAATTCGGCGGGTGATCCTCCTGATCTGAGGCCGACGATATGGTGCGAGGCAGACTCGATATCCGTCCGCGCGACGACGCGCGCGCTTCGACGTCGAGTCCGCCTACGGCGGATATATCGTTACGAAAATTTCAAGATCTTGCGCCGCGCACATCGCACCCGTCGTATCATCGATCCGTCGTTTCGACTACGACACCGAACTCCCTTACGTGGAGTCGGATCTCTGCCGAGACGCGAATACGAAGACGACGCGCGCGACGTTTGTGTGCGCGGCGGCGTAATCGAGATTCGTACGAATAATATATTTAAACGGACGACACGTAAAACAATCTCTACCTAATACATCTCTTCGCTTGGAGGAGACGAGAAGGCCGAGAGAAACGCGTCGACGCCGTCAATTGTCGAACGGCACACGCGCACGGGAGAGCGCGAGCGCGTTCGCAATGTGGCCTTTTGTTATATACGGCCGGCCCTCAGACAGGAGTGGTCCTGGATGTGTTCCACGGACCGCAATGTGCGTTCGAAATGTCGATGTTCAAATGTGTCCTGCAGTTCACACTATGACGCGCAGTTAACTGCGTTCTTCATCGACCCGCGAGCCAAGTGATCCACCGTCCAGGGTAGTTTTTTTTTATTTAATAATAAAATCTCTCGTATAAATGATAAAGAATATATATATAAATAAGGATGAGATTAGAAATTTTTTCGTCGCGGCCACGACTCCGGAGAGTATCTCATCACCTCTCCCATCTACGTCGCGTGGCGGCCGCGACGAGCGAGTAAATCGATAATTGTTCGGATTATATAGATGTATTTATAATATATATCGCTATAAACGATATACATCATTAACACGTTAATGATCCTTCCGCAGGTTCCCCTACGGAAACCTTGTTACGACTTTACTTCTCTAAATGATCAAGTTTGGTCAACTTCCCAGCGACGCCGACGGCCGATAGAGCCACCGCGTGTCGGAAGACCTCACTAAATCATTCAATCGGTAGTAGCGACGGGCGGTGTGTACAAAGGGCAGGGACGTAATCAACGCGAGCTTATGACTCGCGCTTACTAGGAATTCCTCGTTTATGGGGGATAATTGCAAACCCCAATCCCCAGCACGAAGGAGTTTCAGAGGGTTGCCCGGGCCTCTAGGCCAGGGAGAACATGCTGATTCCTTCAGTGTAGCGCGCGTGCGGCCCAGGACATCTAAGGGCATCACAGACCTGTTATTGCTCAATCTCGTGCGGCTCGAAGCCGCCGGTCCCTCTAAGAAGATTTTAATAACGCCGCCAGTGAGCCGCGCGACGCGAACGCCGCGCACACCGGAATGACGACGCCTATTTAGCAGGCTAGAGTCTCGTTCGTTACCGGAATTAACCAGACAAATCGCTCCACCAACTAAGAACGGCCATGCACCACCACCCACCGAATCAAGAAAGAGCTGTTAATCTGTCAATCCTTCCGGTGTCCGGGCCTGGTGAGATTTCCCGTGTTGAGTCAAATTAAGCCGCAGGCTCCACTCCTGGTGGTGCCCTTCCGTCAATTCCTTTAAGTTTCAGCTTTGCAACCATACTCCCCCCGGAGTCCAAAATCTTTGGTTTCCCGGAAGCTGCCCGCCGAGCCGTTGTGTTAACGTCGGCGGATCGCTAGACGACATATTTACGGTTAGAACTAGGGCGGTATCTAATCGCCTTCGAACCTCTAACTTTCGTTCTTGATTGATGAAAACACCTTTGGCAAATGTTGCTGATGTTCGTCTTGCGACGATCCAAGAATTTCACCTCTAACGTCGCAATACGAATGCCCCAGTTATCCCTATTAATCATTACCTCGGAGTTCTGAAACCAACAAAATAGAACCGAGATCATATTCCATTATTCCATGCACGAAATATTCAAGCAGCGTTCATAGCCCGCTTTGAGCACTCTAATTTGTTCAAAGTAAATTGTCGGCCCATCTCGTCACTCGTTTAAGAGCAACGCGATAGATTTTGAAGATTGAACCGCCGAGTACCGATACGAGACCGGCCCCGGAACGGTTCACCGACGATATGCTCCGCAGGCGTGTCAGTTGCACCGCGGGTGCGGTGCACCGACAGCGCGGCGCACAAATGCAACTACGAGCTTTTAACCGCAACAATTTTAGTATACGCTATTGAGCTGGAATTACCGCGGCTGCTGGCACCAGACTTGCCCTCCAATTGTTCCTCGTTAAAATATTTAAAGTGTACTCATTCCGATTACGAGGCCTCGTAAGAGTCCCGTATCGTTATTTTTCGTCACTACCTCCCCGTGCCGGGAGTGGGTAATTTGCGCCTGCTGCCTTCCTTGGATGTGGTAGCCGTTTCTCAGGCTCCTCTCCGGAATCGAACCCTGATTCCCCGTTACCCGTGACAACCATGGTAGTCGCAGAAACTACCATCGAAAGTTGATAAGGCAGACATTTGAAAGATGCGTCGCCGGTACTGGACCGTGCGATCGGCGAAAGTTATCCAGATTCATCAAAATGAACGACATCGGACGCGAGGCCCTCCGTCGATTGGTTTTGATCTAATAAAAGCACTCATTCCATCACTGGTCAGAGTTCCGATTGCATGTATTAGCTCTAGAATTACCACAGTTATCCAAGTAACCTGTGTAAGATCTAAGGAACCAAAACTGATATATTGAGCCATTCGCGGTATCGCCTTAATACGGCTTGCACTGAGACATGCATGGCTTAGTCTTTGAGACAAGCATATAACTACTGGCAGGATCAACCAGGGAGCTATCGCACGCTAACACGAACCGCCGCGCCGTCCCCAAAAGGACGGCGGCGAACGTTCTCATACGAGCGGTGCGTTGACTGCTCTCTTTATATAATTTTCATCTCCTGTCGGAGAATCGGACGACGATCAGAGACCGCGTCCAAAATTTGATATTTCACCGAAACAATCGCGTATTTATTGAAAATAACGCATATTGTATATTATTATATGATACTTTGTCCAGTCGTCTTATAGGGATTCATTCGAATCCCGTTCAACGTCGGCATTATAGAGTTGGTCACGATAATATTTTCGTTGGACATCGTCTCGCAATACGAAAGCGCAAACGACAACAGTTATAGTCCGTCCGTATTATAGACAAACTTAAAAGTTGTATCTGTTCGCACTAATATACTCGAACGATGTTCATGAAAAGTATAATATTCTATATATTAATACTTTGTAAATTTAAAGCGTCGATATAAAAAGTTTTAAACGGCACAACTGATACCGTCGACGCACACCGTGCAAGCGGCACACGGAACGCCGGCGGGCCGTACAGTGACTCGCCGCGCTGCCGTGTGCTCACATATAGCTGAACTAGCCGGAGTGAGAAAGCGACGATCCATACAAACTCTGACGAAAATATTGAAATTTTGATAGCCGCCTCGCATCTCGCCCGATGGTCGTGTATCGTGATATTATCGATCCGCGAATCGAAATAAAGTATTTTTTATATTGCGCCCCCCGCCCTCCTGGCCGCCCCCTGCCCCCGCGCCCGTAACTTCGGGCAATTTTTTATTTTATTACATTCAATCGTTAGTTCTATTTAAAATGTAATAAGTAATAATAGTGATTACATATACCATTACGTTCTTATTATTATCATTATAATAATAATAATAATAGTAATAATAATAATAATAATGATGATGACGATTATTATTATATATATATATATATATATATATATATATAAACCGGTCAAGTGAGTCCGGACTCGTACGTGAAGGGTTCCGTACCTCGATTAAATGTTTTGAAAGTAGCCTAAGTCTCACTAATAGGGTAAAATAATGTATTTAAATTATAAATAATTTATATTTTCATTCAACGACAAAAGCACATTAGAGAAATAATATATAATGATATTTTATAATGTTCGAATAGTTTTTTTTTTTCTTTTCTTTTTACTGTATTATCTAATATATAATAGGGTTGGGGAAATGAAATGAAACTATAGTCAGGTATCCTATTATATTTTAACGACAAAATAATGCTAAATGCATAATGACTGTCCTGACGACGGATCGCGTCCTCGTAGACGGTAAAACGATGCCGCAGTACGTACCGGTTTCCGCGCACGTTGGAACTCTTCTTCGACTAAGAACGGCCCAGACTTGAGACTTGGCGTACGGCCGTCGCTTATCATCGTTCGGCTGGCCGTAGAACTAAACACGATGTTGCGGTGAAAGTTTCTATTTCTATAAACAAATATTATCTATAAATAAAATGAAAAATATACAATAGACGATGATACTCTTAAAACTATACAATAAACAAATGATAGTCGAAGATAGTTGAAACCTGACGATAAATTGTCAGTCAGACTTCGGCATCATCGGCTCTCGTCATAGACGGACGCTTGTCGAACTCACTTATCCTGTCTTATCTCTATCTATAATATTTTCCTATTTAAAATCAGTTATTTTAGATAGAACATCTCATCGATACTCGGTCCCTCCTTGTCTCGCAACGGGACCCTGCCGTAAGACCGACCGCTACCCACCTCCTGTTAGAGCGGGAAGCAGATAGCTGCCGGTGGCTTACGGCGGACGGACGCTGCCCGTTGGCTGCATTATGCGGGAAATCGGTGTGTCCGACGTGTTTGACAGCGCCCACGGGCGTAGACTATGTAGACTCCGCCTTCGGTCGCGCCTCCCGGTTGAGGTGAAGGCGGTATATACGCTGCACGCACCGATCTGCAAGTGAACATTGACTTATTAATATGTATACCTAATAATAGTTCGGTAACGTGAGCAACAATTAAAATTGTATAGATATTGCGTTCTGTGACGTAGGTTAAGTGGCTCATACCGCATAAGTAAGTTACCGTCTAAATAATACAAAACGATTTAACATTTATTGTAAACTAAATAGAATAAACTACCTATAGCTAGGTATAGTTTTATGGGCGCATATATATACACACGTCTTTCTGCTTGATTTTTCCACTGTTCTAGTTCCAGTCGCCTCCGGGCGTTTTATTTTATCGTTTTTAATATTATTTAAATAAATCATAATGAATTCAATTCAATTTAATTAAATGAATCAAATTTTATTGCAGGTGTTCGATCCGTTTTTGCAAATTTTGCACACTGTTTATACCGTTATTATTTTGGAGTATTATTACATTATAAAGTTCAGATGACAGACAGTTCGAAGAAATATTTGAACATTTACCGACCGTCGATCATGTCGACGTTGTTTCAAAATTAAAATAGTCAGATGGCAACATTATCTAATAATAATAATAATTCATTTATAAAACAAAAGCAATAATAATTTTTAGTGTTGTCGATGCCGGTGGAGCAAGCAATTCATTTCACATCTATGAAATTATAAAAAATATGTGGAGTGATTGTGAGATTTTTTCTTTCTAAAAGGAAGGCGAACGTCTTAACAACTTGAGTGCCCATAACGCCTCGGGCGTGAGACGAGACGAAGAGGATGCCCATCACGCCTCTGCGCGTGATGGGTTAGTACAGCATTCTATGCGCCAGTGTGCCGTGGGCCTATGTCGGAGAGCGTTGTATCGCACGGGCATCGCGCGCAACACTCTGACGAATACGTAAAGGTAGCGGTTTACGGTTTTGTTTTTTA